TCTAGTGGTTTTCCCTACTTTCTTCAATTTAAGTCTGAATTTGGCAATAAGGAGTTCATGATCTGAGTCACAGTCAGCTCCTGGTCTTGTTTTTGCTGATTGTATAGAGCTTCTCCATCTTGGCTGCAAAGAATATAATCAATCTGATTTCGGTGTCGAACATCTAGTGATGTCCATGTGTAGAGCTGTCTCTTGTGTTGTTGGAAGAGGGTGTTTGCTTTGACCAGTGCGTTCTCTCAGCAAATCTCTATTAGCCTTTGCTCTGCTTCATTCTGTACTTCAAGACCAAATTTGCCTGTTACTCCAAGTGTTTCTTGACTTCCTACTTTTGCATTCCAGTCCCCTATAATGAAAAGGACGTCTTTTTTGGGTGTTAGATCCAGACAGTCTTGTAGGTCTTCATAGAACCGTTCAACTTCAGCTTCTTCAGCATTACTGGTCAGGGCATAGACTTAGATTACTGTGATACTGAATGGTTTGCCTTGGAAATGAACAGAGATCATTCTTTCATTTTTGAGACTGCACCCAAGTATTGCATTTCAGACTTTTCTGTTGACTATGAGGGCCACTTCATTTCTTCTAAGGGATTCTTGCCCACAGAGGTGGATATAATGGTCATCTGAATTAAATTCACCTATTCCAGTCCATTTTAGGTCACTGATTCCTAAAATGTCAATGTTTAGTCTTGCCATCTCCTGTTTGACCACTTCCAATTTGTTTTGATTCATGGACCTAACATTCCAGGTTCCTATACAATATTGCTCTTTACAGCATCAGACTTTACGTCCATCACCAGGCACGTCCAAAACTGGATGTTGTTTCTGCTTTGGCTTAGCCTCTTCATGCTCTGGAGCTATTTCTCCACTCATCTCCAGTAGCACCTCCAACAGGCCACCTAGCGACCTGGGGAGTTCATCTTTCAGTGTCATTATCTTCTTGCTTTTTCATACTGTTCATGGGCTTCTCAAGGCAAGAATACTGAAGTGGTTTGCCATTCCCTTCTCCAGTGGACTACATTCTGTCAGACCTCACCACCATGACCTGTCCGTCTCGGCTGGCCCAACGTGGAATGGCTCATAGTTTCACTGACTTAGACAAGCTGTGGTCCATGTGATCAGATTGGTTAGCTTTCTGTGACTGTGGTTTTCATTCCTCCCATAGATATTGCCTTTTTGGTCAGATAACTTCCTCTTCATTCCTTCAAACTTAGTTCAGATGTACTCACTGAAATTCTCAGTTTGTGGTGTTTACTTGTTCCATACACAGGGCAGTGTTATATATTGGTATTTTTAACACTAAAAATACATCCTACTAAAGTCATGTCTTTCTTTCTCCCCTACCAGAGTACATGTTTCTTAAGGGCAGAAATAGTTGTCTTATAGTCTTTTGTATCTTTAGCCCCTGACTGAATAACTATCAGTAAAGTAGGTTTAAAGTTGTGTGACATAAAGATTAAGTTTACAAGACAACCAAAGTAGTATATCTCTTTTGCTCACTGATAAATGTGCTTCTAAGAGATCAAGGTAAAATCAAGTCCTTTTCTATTTTCATTTATGGAAAATCAACACAAAATAACACTTTGCTTTAGGAATGTGAAATAGTTTGCAAAATGAATCACTAGGGTCTTGCAAATTTAACCTAAAATATATTATTTCCATCATTTCCTTTCTTGTCCCAGTGAAAGTGGTAGATGCACACACGACCTCAGAACCTGCTAATGCTTCTAATTCTAAGTAAGCGAACCCTTTGAAATTTTATTCTAACAGGTCAATTAAAATTCTGTAAAAATGTACACACAATTAACACACTGCAAGTGAGAATACATTTCATCTAACAGTTTCTGAGCAATTACAATGCCCAGAGAATATCAATGTGCCTGGTAGTGTAAATATACACCTATATACAATATACAAGGTAGGAACCAAAATAATTCTGACTAAAATATCCAATAACTAACAATAGGACATTTAAATGTAAAACTGATTAATCAACAAGTATCTTTTTTTACCAACAGAAGACAAATTATTTGTGTATATAATACTTGTTTTTGAGGGTTTTTTGACATATTTACTCTTCGGTTCTCTATCTCAACTTCTGTCAGTTTGTTACAGCCATTCTTCAGTGTCACAGAAGATAAGCCACATTAAGAACACACAGAAGAATAAAATGAAAATTAAAAACTCACTCAATTCCATGATAATGACATACTGAAGCTTTTTCAAAAGGTAAACCGCGAAGTTTCTGAGGACTAAGTTCTGGTGTCAGGACAAAAGTCTTCTCCCTGAAATAAAAAGCTTTGCATTTTCATTTATTTGGTGAGAAAGTTCAAGAAACTGTCTAAAGAAGGAAGTCTGACTTCCTTCTCTATAACTAGATATTATATGGGATTAAAAACTGAATTACATCAGGAAGCCAAAGAAGAAAATGAAGTAAGGTTAAGCCTAGGGGTTAGTCACTTACATTTTCTCTGTCCCAAGCTTCTAAATATGATAACATTACTTATTTTACAAAACTATTCTGAGAAACGGTTAAATCAAGAATAGAACATGATCTGTAGGGCAAATTCAAGCAGCAGCATTATTCCTGAAGCATGTTTTTCCTGGTGTAGTAAAATGCTCATGCATTTATTAACAGCTAAATTCTTTTCTTGCAGTGGAATAACTGAAGTCAAACTCGAATCCTCAGTAACAAAAGAGGTATTTAGCTCCTGCTATACCACGTGGGGAATCCAGATTTTCTATACCTGGGAACATAGTCATTTTGACACCTATTTTAATCATCAGTGACCTTTTACTATCAGAGGATATAACGACTAACTGCTGATTTCAGCTCTTCTTCTAAAGCAGGTTCCAGTCAGCAGGTGTGTCGGAACTAGTCCTGCGGTGAACTTACATGAAACCCTGACGCTCAGCTCCTCCAGTCAGGACCTGCAGGGAAACCTCAAAACCTCTGGGAGGAGGCTGCTGCAATAAGCTTAAGCTTTCTGAGTTATTCTAATAAGTGCCCCCCTTCTCTGCCTGGGTTGGGAGGCACTGTTCTGATGAACTGCATCATGATTCCTGGAGCTCAGAACACGTTAGAGGTGGGGACGGGAGAATTATACAAGTTTTTTACACCGGTATTAGGCAGAAGGAGACACCTGGGGCTTGACTTCAGAAGACTTACAAAAGGTAAACAGAAAAACAAGTAGGTAGTGGAGTATCAAGAATAAATTCAGTATCACACTTTCCCCTCCTCGGCTTTAGAAATAAAAACTGCCCATATGACACTGAATATTATCTATAGAGTACTAAGATAAGCATTTGAAATTATTATATTAAAATGTAAGACATATGCAAGTTAATGAATCCTGAAAACCAGGATTTATATTCCAATGCATTCATTTAAAGAGTTTCACATAAAGTAACGCTAATAAAGGGCAATGATCCCAGTATTTCACGACCAACTATCCGAGTGAATAACCTTGCGATATGAAACGATGTAGTTCTTTCCTCTGCCATGCTGTCTTCCATTCACTTTAATCCCTCCCAGCAACTGTGTCTACTTTGTTTCATTTCACTCACACCTTGTTCTTTCTAAAGGAAGTATTTCAGTAAGGATGTATTCTGTCAAGGTTTGACTCTTCCTTCATATGCGCAGGAGTCATTCCTGCTTGGCTTAATAGCGCGCTTCAGGTGGTGCCCTGGGAGACAGTTAATGAAAGCCCACAGGCCCTTGAGTCATTACCGTGAAAGCTCATCCTTCAACTTTAACAGAAGACATCTTAGATAATGACACAGTTCTTTACTAACATCAAGGAATTATGTCAAACTTCCCTAGGTAAATCACTGGTAAGCTACAGGAAGAATTAGTAGTATCCCCCCCTGACACTGCAGCTACATTCTGGTCAAAAAGAATACAACCTACATGATTCAGTTTTGGCAAAACCATCTGAGTCTGCCAGTTCACACTTAATAATCTGGAAGGACAGGAATCCAATAACTAAATAGATGAAAACATATATATAATTCTTCCCTTTCTTGATTCCCACAGAAAGAATTATCAATCTCTCAAAGCTGTAAGAAAAGGAAAATTACTCTAAAATTACACTGTTTTTATGTCATTAAAATTATTAAGTCATTAAAATTCAGAACTATTAAGACCATCATATCTCCTAAGTTGCTCCCCATCTCTCTCTCTTTAGTGACCACGCACATGATAAATTCTTTCCAGAATCAACCCTTAAATTCAGTACTTGCCAAAACAAGCTTTGAAAAAGTAATCAAAATGTTCTATAATTTTCAAGGTCCTTTGGAAGATTCTTAGAAAAATGGATTAACAAAAAGAAATTGGGGAAGTGAACAAAGTATTCAAATCTCACAAGTATTTGATATCACGATTTTGCCTGTAATTAAGTTAACTTCAGTAACACCCAGAATTTATTAACTAGCAACTTACTGGAAGCTGTCTTGGAAATCAAATTAGTTGTAAATTATTCAAGCTGACAGTGAGATTTACTTGGTATAGTTTCAAAAGCATTTTTATTACACTTTCCCATTCTTCTCAGGTGAAAGGCTGTCCTTTTGCTATTATTAAGGCATAACTGACAATGTCATGATTAAGTAGTAGTAAAATCAAAACTAGAAAGTGATAGAAAAGAGAATTTTAAAGAATTTTTGCAAGTCAAATTATAATTTTTCTGAAAAAGTATTGCCATCTGTCTACAAAGTAGAAGCTCACTTCTATAAGAAATATGTTAAGGTGGTTTTTATTATCCCTGTTTCCTTTATACTCAATACTATAAAACAGTAGAATATTAGGCTAAGGTAAAATGTGAGAATTAAGACAACTGATAAACACTGGGCTCAAACTTGTAGATTTTGTCAAAGTGGCACAGAACATCTAATTGGATGTTAGATCTAAACACATAACTGGAGAAGAGGCAATGTGCTTTTAAAACGATTCCTTAAAAAAGTAATTGGAGGTTATCAGTTTATAACTTACCCTTTTTGAATCTGTAAAGGCTGAAGATCTCCAATTGGTAACCCGTCTGAGGTAAAGAATTTAAGCAATTCTTTAGCATCCAATAATGTGACTGAATCCCGTGGACCCTCTTTGTGGCCCAGCAATTGTTCAGATGAACGAGGTAATGAACCAGTTCTGAGAAAAAAAAAATTATGTAGATTTATTAAAAGCAGATTCGAATTCTCCATGGTCAGGAAAAGCTGCTATGAGCAGAAGCCAGAAAAATATACACACACACACAAAACTGAAGATCTACACATTTAAGAAAGAAAAAAAGTAAAAGCTTTGCAAATCATTTAGAATCAAAGCATATTTTCAAAAATCTGTATGTAGGTCACAGGAAAACTTGCAGTTATCATGTCAAAACAATGTTACTACTTAACTAAAATAAACATAATTATATTCTTTATATTTGACATGATTGATGAATGTAATCATTATCATGCTATCACATTATCATTATTAGTGTGAAGTCATCAATTCTATAAAATTTAAATCTAAAGTCTCTTGTATGTTCCAAAGCCCCACAATATTGTAAATTCTGAAGGCAGAGACCAAATGTTCCAATGTTCTATAAACTTGAAAGATTACATACAGCACAACCATGAAATAAGATAGTAATCAGATATTTCTCCAAGGTCTCTGCTAGCCATGATTATGACATTATGAATAAATACTAAATTATTATTATCCCTGAAATATACACAGGATTTCATACTTTTAAAAGCACATACAATATATCCTTAACCCTCACAAATCCCCTTGAAAAAGACAGGACAGGTTTTATCTCAAAATGAAATTAACACCTGAAAATAAGAACTTTGTAAAGTTCATATCATACCAAGCCTAAAAAACAATCACTATTCTTACCACCCAATAGTGCCTTACAGACCCACGGTGCCAAGACTTTTAAAATGACAGAATCAGAACGAGCCTGACTCTGAATTAGGTACTAATTCTACTCTATCACTCTATGAACCCAAAAAGCCCACAGTTTTTAAAAACTGGAAAGAAGAAAATAGTTTCAGAGAATGCTACAGGTTTTTTCAAGCACTGAGTTACAAATCATACTATTACCCTGTCACCAAAGCAAAAATAAAATCTTTCAATACCCGCACAGAACATTAATTTCCTGACTTTATATTAATTCAACTATATCCTGATTAGTCACTCCAGCAATTTTACTGATAACTGTACAATTAAAATGTTGATATTATGGCCTTAAGACATATTTCTATACATGACAACAGGGTCTCCATTATGGCCTTAAGACATATTTCTATACATGACAACAGGGTCTCTTTCTTCTTCTCATTCCCTTTATTTTTAAATTGAAAATATATCTCTAATAAAAACAGTCAAACAAGAAAACACTCAAAACGCTATACTCTAGGAGGACAAGAACTACATGATGAGCTGAATTTAATTTCTATATAGCTACTCTCTAACAGTGACTCACAAAATCTTAATCAATATTACTCTCAATCATTTGATAGGCCAGTTGCAATGGGGAAATGCATACTTTGCATTTACATAGAACCCAGAACACAAAAATATCAGAAAAATTTAAAAGCCCAGTTTGTGATAAAGTTTACCAACCAGCTATATCCTGGGTGAAAAACGAAACAAGAAACACTGACAACACTTTTTTGTGTTTCCAAGCTTACAAAGTAATTTTTCATACATTATCTCATTAAATTTTCACAACCCTGAAGTAGACCTGGGCTCGTTACCTCCATCTTACAGATGAGTCAACCAAGTCACACAACAGGTGGCTGAGTTTGTCTGGAACCAGATTCTCGGTACTTCCCTGGTGGTCCAGCCACTGAGAATCTGCCTTCCGGCTCAGGGCAGACAAGTTCCATACCTGGTCAGGGAACTGAGATCCCACAGGCCACGGAGCAGCAAGCCTCGCCTGTGTGACAAACCCTGAGAAGCCCGTGCACCGAACGGAGAGCCGGCGCCCGGCCACTGAGACCCAACACCGTCAGCGAGGGCCGCCCTCGGCTCAGCGCGGGAGGCCCGGGTGTGGGCCCCGGGCTGGGGTCCCCTGGGGAAGGGGAAGGCCACCCACTCCAGGATTCTCGCCTGAAAATCCGGGGGCTGTACAGTCCACGGGGCCACAGAGAGTCAGACCCAACTGAGCAGCTTTCACTCGCAGCCAAGTGAACAAATAAAGCTGAACTCTTACACTTGCTGCATGTCGCTCTGTAATGCCCTTTATTCCTCAGTTGGATCTAACATGAAACAAATTAAGAAACTATGTCACTCTGGCTCCCAGCCAAGAATTTTGAAGTGTCCACAAATATGTATTGAGCATTTACTCTGCAATTATCACTGTGAGGTACTAAAAAGTTCATTGTTCATAATTTATAGACCCCTAATCACTGTTCATGACTGTGTACACGTACAACTCAAAGCAGGAGAAAGGAGGGAATGAGAGTAGAATGAGGCAGAAAAGGCACAATAAAGTAAGTTTCATGAAAGAAGTAATAACAGTCTTTTAACTGCAGCATTTACAGAAGTCTTAAGAGAAAGGTGACATTTGAGCTACACTTAAACTACAAACAAATCTCTTCTGGTTCAAGATGATGTGACAAACATACACATCAACCGCTCCACTCAGAAACCAAAAGCCACGATGCTGAAGCGCTGGGCACGAGGGTATAACAGGGCTCAAAAAGGTAGAGGAACAGGAGTGACCAAAGGGTTCAATGAACTTCAGTAATAAACCAGGATACTCCTCCACAAGAATTGGGAAGAAACCTACAGAGAAGGCAGACTATGTCTTCTTCTTCCATGAAACCACAGACAGACTCTCAACTGGAGCTGAGAGTGGCAACGGGCAGCCAACAGGTGACGTATTTTCAGAACTCTACTAGAACACCCTCCCACACCACATCTCAGACTCATGCTTTTTCCTCCGAGAGAAAAGCTGCTCTCTGAAGATACAGACCTGGGTGCCTGCCCTGCCGTCAGCGGCGAAGCCCCCAGCACAGAGCCCTTTATTTAAGCGATGGGTAAAGCACCCAAGTTGCCTCCCCTAGGTGCCCTTCACCTCCCTTCTCCCAGGAAAAACTCAGGTGACAGCAGGCAGGGTACAGAACCACACGTACAGAGATGAATGTATGCAATTACCAACATAAAACAGTCTAGGAATAAATTCTCAGCTGTGAACAATCAAGGGCCACCAGATACTGAAGAACTATACAGAAGAGAAAAACAGAGGACCAAATGAAACAGATCTAAAGGATAATGGGATCATTTAAAGAACAGGTAAGACAAGCTAAGAGAAAATTCCAATTAATAAGTTAATATCCTTAGAGTATCTTCTCAATTATTATTAATAAGAATAGGTTGCTATGAAAAAAAGGTAGATAACAAAAAAGAATTATTAGAAATTTTTTAAATGGCTGCCAAAAATTTACTGGAAAAGATGAAAGTAAAGGTCAAGGAAATAATACCAGAAGGCAGAGCAGAAAAGATGAAAAGATGGACTACTATTATTTTTTTATGGAATCATTCCTCAAAAACTTTTGTTTTTCTCACTGTGCTGGGTCCTTGCTGCTGCATGGACTTTCTCTATAGTTGCAGAGAACGGGGCTATTTCCGAGCTGCAAGGCGCCAGCTTCTCGCAGCGGGGTCTCCTCTGTGTGGAGCACGGACTCCAGGGCTCCCAGGCCGCAGCAGTGGTCGCAGGCGGGCGCGACGGCTGCCGTTCACAGGCCCTAAAGCACAGGCTCAGCTGCTGCGGCGCGCAGGGCCCTGCAGCGCGCGGGATCGCCCCAGACCAGGCGCTGAGCCAGCGTCTCCCGCACTGGCTGGCCGACTCTTTACCACCGAGCCCCCCAGAAAGCCCGAAGAGATGGACTATGGAAAGAACAATCAAATTTAAATTGAAAAATCAATCTGAGGCATCTAAAATTAGGTAGAACAGATAATCACAAATAAGGAAGAAAGAAAACAGAAGGACAAATGTATCAAAGAAATAATAGAAGAATATTTCCAAGAGCTGATAAAAAGGGAAAAGCCTCAAGACCAAAACACTGCACACCATGATGGCCTCGTGTAATTTCAGAACATTAAGGAAAACAGAAAATTCTAGAAGTTTCAGAGACAGACTAAAACACCTATTAAGGAACAAAAATCCATGTCACATCAGACTTCTCATTAAGGTTTGAGATCCAAGAAAATACAGGTCTAATCTAATCTAGAAATGCAATCAAAAGAAATACCAGGAAAACAGCTGTGCAGGTAGAGAGGGTCAGTCCAAATGAGAGCGGCAAGTCAGAAAAGTGGGAGAAAAATTACTTCAAGGAAAAAAAATTATCTATTGCAAAATAACATAAGGTGCAAAGGAAGGAGGAGGATAAAAGGTGAGGAGAAGCAGGGGTGTCCTTTTCCCTGTCTTCACAATGGGAAGTGAAAATATACAATCTAAAATTGATGGGCAAGAAATCCAAGCTCTCTTACGGGTAACCCATCCTTTTCTCCATTTTCTTTCCAGAGTGCCATTTTCCTCCTGACCTGTAAATGTTACAGACCCCCAGGGAATAGTCTTAAGCCTTCCTGTCTTTTTCTATACAGCCTCACCATGTGATCTCATCTACTAGCATCTATTAAAGAAACCCTTTTAATGGTTAACTCCAAACAGATTCCCAGACTTCTCCTTCTAATATACCCACATGCACAATCCATAGGTCAAATATAGCATCCCTAAAGCAGAATTCTTGATCTTTCTCCCCCAATCCACCCTTGTTTCAACTTACCCATCTTCCCCAAACCATGAGAACTCTACCCACCTGCTGTTCAAGCCAGAAACCTGAACTGTCTTGGATGCCTCTCTCTCTCTCTCTTCTCTGAGAAGGGGGGCAGGAAAAAAACAGGAAGTTTCTTTTTTTCCTAGCTTAGCACCAAAATATTCTCCAAACTTGTTCTCCACTACTACTCTAGTTAGAAGTCACCTTTACCTCTCAGTGCACAGAAAAAGCCACCACCTAAGTGATCTGTCTGTTCCTAATACTTTCCTCCCACAATCTATTCACCAGAAAAAAGTAAGTTATTTTGCAACATCAGATCACATCACTCCGACAGAAAATCCATGAAAAGCTTACCAATGCACTTACAATTCAAAGACTGTCTGTACACCTGTAAGGGCCAACGTGACTGCACGCACTTCACTCATTCACCCACGGGGTCTCCGCTCCAGCGTAACTTCTCAGGGTGCCCTCCCCGACCATCTCCTCCCACCCCAACAAATAAAACCACTCTGCCTCAGGCCCGCTGCTTCATTCGTTACACACAGATGGGTTTCCAAGTCCTGGATTGACTTGTCTGCTTACAGTTTTCTGTTGACTGTCCCTCCCCCTTAAAAGGCAAGCTCCAAGAGGTGAGCCTAACACACAGCTGCTGCCCAGTAAACATCTGCTGATCTCTATGAACAAATGCTATCAGTTCAGTTGCTCAGTCGTGTCTGACTCTCTGCGACCCCATGAACTGCCGTACGCCAGGCCTCCCTGTCCATCACCAGCTCCCAGAGTCCACCCAAACCCACGTCCATTGAGTCAGTGATGCCATCCAACCACCTCATCCTTCGTCACCCCCTTCTCCTCCTGCCCTCAATCTTTCCCAGCATCAGGGACTTTTCCAATGAGTCAGCTCTTCGCATGAGGTGGCCAAAGTACTGGAGCTTCAGCTTCAGCATCAGTCCTTCCAATGAACACCCAGGACTGATCTCCTTTAGGAAGGACTGATTGGATCTCCCTGCAGTCCAAGGGACTCTCAAGAGTCTTCTCGAACACCACAGTTCAAAAGTATCCATTCTTCAGTGCCCACCTTTCTTCACAGTCCAGCTCTCACATCCATACATGACCACTGGAAAAACCATAGCCTTGACCAGACAGACCTTTGTTGGCAAAGTAATGTCTCTGCTTCTAAATATGCTATCTAGGTTGGTCATAACTTTCCTTCCAAGGAGTAAGCGTCTTTTAATTTCATGGCTGCAATCACCATCTGCAGTGATTTTGGAGCCCCAAAAAATAAAGTCTGTCACTGTTTCCACTGTTTCCCCATCTATTTGCCATGAAGTGATGGGACCAGATGCCATGATCTTAGTTTTCTGAATGTTGAGCTTTAAGCCAACTTTTTCACTCTCCTCTTTCACTTTCATCAAGAGGCTCTTTAGTTCTTCTTCACTTTCTGCCATAAGGGTGGTGTCATCTGCATATCTGAGGTTATTGATATTTCTCCCGGCAATCTTGATTCCAGCTTGTGCTTCTTCCAGCCCAGCGTTTCTCATGATGTACTCTGCATATAAGTTAAATAAGCAGGGTGACAATATACAGCCTTGACGTACTCCTTTTCCTATTTGGAACCAGTCTGTTGTTCCATGTCCAGTTCTAACTGTTGCTTCCTGACCTGCATACAGGTTTCTCAAGAGGCAGGTCAGGTGGTCTGGTATTCCCATCTCTTTCAGAATTTTCCACAGTTTATTGTGATCCACACAGTCAAAGGCTTTGGCATAGTCAATAAAGCAGAAATAGATGTTTTTCTGGAACTCTCTTGCTTTTTCGATGATCCAGCGGATGTTGGCAATTTGATCTCTGGTTCCTCTGCCTTTTCTAAAACCAGCTTGAACATCTGGAAGTTCATGGTTCACTTATTGTTGAAGTCTGACTTGGAGAATTTCGAGCATCACTTTACCAGTGTGTGGTATGAGTGCAATTGTGCAGTAGTTTGAGCATTCTTTGGCATTGCCTTTCTTTGGAGTTGGAATGAAAACTGACCTTTTCCAGTCCTGTGGCCACTGCTGAGTTTTCCAAATTTGCTGGCATATGGAATGCAGCACTTTAACAGCATCATCTTTCAGGATTTGAAGTAGCTCAACTGGAATTCCATCACATCCACTAGCTCTATTTGCAGTGATGCTTTCTAAGGCCAACTTGACTTCACATTCCAGGTCAGCAGAGGAGCTAAAAATAAGAATGTGATTTGCACTACTTGGGAGGGCAATGCAACAAAGTCAAATTCCTTTCCTTTATTCCGTTCTTCCACCGCTCAACAATGATGTACCGCGTGCCTGCTATGCACTAAACCAAAACCAAAGCAAACATAAATCTGCCTCTTAGAGACAGTTAGTACACGCAAACATAAAACGTAAAACAGAACATTTCAAAATGGCTCGAAGGAAAAGAGTGCTTTTACTTTGTTTTACACATTCCTGTGGAGAAGGAAATGGCGACCCACTTCAGTATTCCTGCTCGGACAGAGAAGCGTGGAGGGCCCCAGTCCATGGGGCCACAAAGAGCCGGACACGACTGAGCGACGACACACACACACGCGCGCGCACATTCCTGTATTTTTAAACTTTTTCTTTCCTGTTCATACATTTTTGTACTTCTACGGAAGATGGTCTGAAAGGTCACACTGCAGTGTCGCCTGTGATTACGTACACCCGGAAAGGACAAGCAGAATATGGAAGGGAGAGAGCATCCCCTGGACACCGTACTCTGCAGTAGTCTATCTCGGTCTATCTATCTACAGTAAGCATATATACCTTTTACAATAAAACCATAAGTTGCTATCTCATAAACAGTTTAAGGATTAAGAAAAAATAAAGATCATACAAAATAAGCTGTTTAAATGTTACCTCATTTTTTGTTTAGCTTTTTCAAAAGTTTCCAAATTTTGAAGGACATGCCTCTCAGGCCACTCCAGAGGACTGGTCTCCACTGGGCAGGAAGGAGGCTCCAGTGAACGGCTTTCTGAAGAGAAGGGACACATGTGAGTCCTGAAGTATCACCATACTGAATTCTGCTACATAAAAATGTGTACATGTAGATACACATAAAAACCACTCGGGTTAACTGTACAATGCTTACACCAGACAATTATTAAGGATATTTCTGATGACCTGAACTATGCAAAATGGCATAGAAAAGTTTTTTGGAAATGATAAAAAAAAATTAGTATTGAGCTTTATTTTACATTCTCCTCATAATAAACGTTATGGGCTAGAATCCAGAAGAGGAATTAGCACTGCAAGGACTCACAGGGAATGAAAGTATAAATTTGGTATTTTTGTGAAATTAGTTCTAAAAGAAAAAGAGACAACTCTGTGGAGAATATATGGGATATAATATGTGATCTCCATATTAGAAAGAGGAATTAGCTCCAATATCCTGAAAAATTTGTATTTTTAAAAGATTACTTCATTCTCAAAAGTACTACAATACCATAAATAACTTAAGACGTTTGAGGGTAAAGATTACTTTAGAACTAATTCTCACATATACTAATGTAAGATGCTTTAACATATTCATTTTCAAGTAAATCACTAACATTAAATGCTATTTTACTACTAATCAAGTATTATACGTATGAGTGTCTTATCTTTTTGGTCAGTATGGTGCAATGAACTAACACTGAGATTGTTGATAATCCACAATTCTCATTAAAGACAGAGGGCCGTCTTCCATTCTCATTATTAATTATGAGGACATCTCAACTGTTTTAAGACTGACAAAATCACTAACTAATACTGGATTCCAAAACCATCTGGTGTTTTACATTGTTTTGAACTATCACACACTACTCTAATAAACTGACTGAAAATTACTGGACATTAGCTGCTTGACTAACCGTCAACCCTGACAAAAATACCCATTTTATACTTTAGGGTCTTACAAAGTGATAATGATTTGGTAAGCAATTTTTGAACTAAAAAGAAAAAATTAATCACAGATAAAACAGAAGCCAACTGCATATCATTTTTCGTTTAAAGTATTTAGTCTTGAATAGTTAAAAATATTTTTAATGCCTCTACTGTATTGCCCCAGCCAAACACCGTCCAAGTATAGTAGTTCCTGTTTCTTAATGAGGGTGGTGAAATACTGACTATTTCATGGAAGAATAAGCTTCGTGATGAAATAATCTGCTTTATAATGCTGGCATGGCTTTTCAAAAAAATGGATAAAGAAAAAAATCATTAGTAGTTCTGAATAATTACAGGGTATGTTCACAGAAGAATACAAGCCATGTTAAATAAAAGTAAACATTAATTATTCCCCTAAATATTACAATATAAATTATTAAATTTGAGTATACAATCTATATAAATGTAAATGCCATAGGCTAAATGTTAAGGTACAGACAAACATTCATATATATAACAGGGGAGTGACTTGGTGACTAAGCATGCACGCAGATATTAACAATGGTGATAATGACAATATAAATGACAGGTCACAATTTTTTGGAGATGATTACATTCTAAGTGTTTTATAGGACTCAACTCAGTTAATCCTCATAATTACCCTAGTAACTGGGTAATATCACTATCCCCATTTGAAACATGAGGAAACAGGCCCGGAGAGATTGAAGAACCTGCCCAAAGACATTCAGCTGAGGTCTGAACCCTGGCTGTCCAGCTCCAAAGGCCTGAGCCTTTAAACATGGCACGAGACACTGTGCTTATATTTTGTTTTCCAACTAGATCATAAGCCTGATGAAAGCCAAGGACAGCCACTCCCCCAAATTTTTTATTTTTTGTGTGCCTTCATGGAATCAAACAGAGAAATGGCAGACAACAAACATTATTATCAACTTGATTCTATGGCCATTTTCTTATTAATATATGGGATAAAAATGATTTTCACAGAATAACAGCAAAAAATTATCCTATACATTTAAAATGCCAGGCAAGCGTTAAATGCTTCCTTTTTAAATCCTGAAGAGCTTCACTCTATGCAAATTCATCACCAGAACAGAAAGTAGGAAAATAGAAAGAAATTGCCAAGTTAAAATAGAAATGATTTCCTGCTCCTTCAGTAAGTTTGGTGACTTCCTGCTAAAACAAATGGCAAGTGTGGAGCATCTTATTATATGTAGTTTTATCTACATTAAGTTTACTAAGTTCCACTTTTCTCACCTTATGAAAATATAGCTTAATAGAAATCCATCCATTCTAGCAGCTTAGTAAAAATTTTAAGAGGAATTACCTTAAGGTGCTTCTCCTGCTCAAAAACAATTATACAGAACGTGCTTAATAAAAAGTGTCATCAGAAAATTTCCAATGTCTAAATGATGAAAAATATAACATATTGATATTTACACAGATACTTATATACACAAATATATCACTACTACAATCTGATAGATTTTGATTTGATCAATACATTTTATAAGTTTTAATAATAACTCTCATAAATGCTACACACAAAAGGACTACTATTTAAAGTAACAAAAAACTTACCATTTAACATATTGGAGGTTTTGTCTGTCTTTATTAGACTTGTTTTTGGAATAACAGCATCAAAATGATCTAAAAAATGTTCCCTTGTGTGTGTTAGCAGACTTTTGAGTTCATCCACAGAAATTACCTCACGCTGCTTTGCCAACTTTCCCCTTTCTATAAGACAACAAATCAATATGATTAACAATATAACTGTTATTTTCAACCCTTTGAGCTCATCTACTATCTTTTAGGGGAAATACTTTCAAAAGTAAAACAAATGAACTTCTCCAGCAAATGAACATTCCTGTGTAGGCCTGTTTTCCTTTCAGTCCCATTTGAAGGTAATAGAAGAATTTTCAGTTATGTGAAATAAACAAAGTAATTTGTTAACACTAAAAGGTGAGCAACAGTCAAAACAAGTTTACAGAAGTTTTCAGAAATACACCGCAGAGCATGAGGAATGGCCTTATGTTGGTGCTTACGTGAAAATAAAACCTGTAACACGTTCAGGTAAACGTGGTGGTTTGGTCATGTCCATCTATTTCCTCTCCTACTCAAAACTCAGAATCACAACTGAGGAATAAAAAAAGGACAACAAAAGAATAAACACTAAACGATGCGGTTTCCAACGAATTTTGGAGGATAAGATGATGGTGGAGTGGTGACGGAGTCAGCAGAGCAGAGAAGGGCTCAGCCGCAACAGGAAGGGCCCGAGTGGAAACAAGACCGACAGCGGAGGTCCCCAGGCGGCAGCCCCGGAGCCAGGTGACTCTGCTCTCACTCCGGGGAAGAAACAGAAGAGGAGTCGTCTCAGATCACAGCATATCAGGAGCGGGAGATGGTGAAGGACAAGGAGGCCTGGCGCGCTGCAGTTCATGGAGTTGCAGAGTCGGACACGACTTAGTGACCGAACAACAAAAAAGGTGGTACTGATGCTGGAAGGTTAGACTACAAGATTAAGTAAGAGTCTACATACCGAAAGGTCAGACTTCCAACCTGGTGGCCAGAAAGACAGCAGCTACAGATGTCCCACTGAAAAGATGAAAGGATTCTCCCTTTGAAAAACTGAATGCCCCAGGAGAAAAGAGCTAGATACTGACACTACCGTGGAATTAAGGATAGGACCTCACAAACAAAATGTTGAAATAGTTACTCCACCACTCTTGAAGCTTGCCAATTATATTAGAGTGACACATAAAATTTCCCAGTTAAAACAGGACAGGGGAAAAAAAGTCACCAGATATTTAGCGAAAGGGGTAGAGGGGATAGGGAACTCTGCATTTCATGGTCTCCTGTTCAGACACGTAAGGAGTTCGATTCAGCAATGCTTCCACTTCCTGCTCCCTCCCACCACCCACCAAGCTGGTCTGGGAAAGAAAAGAGACACGTTCTGATCAGGACTCCCCTTTCCAACTTCCACCTGAGTGAGCAAATCCTCGGGATGCTCGCCCTCGGTAATTGTGGTGAGAGCCCTGTCCCAGCAGGCCTGATCGGTGGTTGCCCAGCTCTGGCTGTCATTCACGGAGTAAATCCAGATCTGGGTATATGCAGCAGCAAACCCGTTACAGCTCTAAAAAGTCATGTCCTTCAATCCAGGAATTTATCTCCATCAGTGTGTTTCTTAAGTTTATTTCTCAGTTGGCTCTAAATTTGGGAAACAAGTATTATTTACTAGGCCCCTCCAAACTAAAAACCAAGTCTGGGATGAAAAAGAAAGACTAACGCACGAAAAACAAAAAAGGAGCCCAGCAGCAGCAGAAGCATTCCAGGCAACAAAGAAAGTCTGCCGGGACTGACACTCTCATGAGGACGTCTCTGGGGCTGACGCCTGCACCGTGGGAGACTCGAATTTGATCCCTGGGTCGGGAAGATCCTCTGGAGAAGGAAATGGCAACCCACTCCAGTTTTCTTGCCTGAAAACTTCTATGGACACAGGAGCCTGGCAGGCTACAGTCCATGGGGTCACAAGAATCAGACATGACTCAGTGACTATATCACCAAACCACCAGTTAATATTCTCACAGAAATAATAAAAGATACTATACTCATGAAACAAGTACAGGATGATCTGATAAAGGAACAGTCAATGAACAAGAAAATATTTTTGAAAATTAAGCACAGGAGAGATCAAAATTTAAAAATACTGCAAGACACCCCCTAGAAACTAGGACAAAAAGATAATAATATGGAAATAGGAAAAAAGAGCAGACATTCTATCCAAAAAAAGGTTATTATATAACCAATAAGAGTTCTAGAAAGAAAAAAGTAACCGGGAGAAAGAAAATTCTATTAAAGAAATAATAAAAATTTTCAGACTTAGGAAATGTGAATCTTGTATTGATGTGGCTCATCAAGCACACAGCTTAGTACACTGGAGAGCGGAAAGCAGGGGGCACACACATTACGATTCAGAGTAAAGCTTCCAGAAACAAAGCTTCTGGGGGTAAAAGTTCTGAAAGGGGGCAAAAGCAAACTAAAAACAGACCACTTCAAACAGACTAGTATGAGATTTGTCAACAGGGACAGAGCAACACAAAAAACAATGGGACAGGGACTTCCCTGGTGGCCCAGCAGTTAAGACTCTGTGCCTCCACGCCAGGGAGTGTGGGTTCAACCCCTGGTTGGGGATCCCCCTATCAAGTGGCAAAAAAAATAGATGAGGGGACAATGTCTTCAAAATTCTGAGGGCAAACAATTTTTAACCTGGAAGTCCAGAGAATTATCAATCTAGTAAAGATATTTTCAGACATGCAAGAGCTTGAAAACAGTATGCCCCAAGAACACACTTTTACTGAGGAAGCTAATGCAAGATATGAGCCAACCAAACAAGGGAGTAATCCCCCCCACAAAAAAAAAGGAGGTCAAGGGGTCTAGAAAATAGGAGATTCCAAAAGAAGAGAAGAGGAAAGAGAAGTCTCTAAGATGTCAGTAGGTCTAAGACACATTTTGTTCAAAATACAGTAAAATATGAAACACTCCAGAAAAAAAACTATGAGAAATAAAAAGGAACTGTTGTGTTTGAATATACAATAAATTTAATGACAGGTGTGTGGCAGAAATGTTGGAGGGTCTGGAGAAACATAAAAGTATTTTTGCCTCTACAGAAGAATGGGCAAATTAAAAATAAGGTGATTATCAACCACAAGGAAAACAAAGATTATACAAGAAAGGAAAATTGACCATCATATACTACATGACTCAGTAGTAAATTTACAGATAGGTAGGTAGGTACGTGGGCTTCCCTGGTGGCTTAGATGGTTAAGAATCCGCCTGCGAAGCAGAAGACCTGGGTCTGATCCCTGGATTGGGGAGATCCCCTGGAGGAAGGCAGGGCAACCCACTCCAGTGTTCTTGCCTGGAGAATCGCACCGACAGAGAGGAGCCTGGTGGGCTACAGTCCACGGGGTCTTAAGAGTCAGACACGACTTAGCAACCAAACCACCACCATCACTGACCTATGCCTATTAAAATCGTCAATTATGTTACAATACTGGGCAATGTGGAAAGCAGGATATGACTTCCTATTGACCTTAATGACCAAGCAATAGAGAGAGAAAATAGATGAGGTTTAACAGGGTTTACGAGCAGAATAATTTACCTAGGTGAAAAATAATCCCTACACAGATGAGTCAGTAACACAAGTGACAGATAAAGATCTGGGAGAAAAATATTGGACTAAAGTGTTAAAATAAATTCACAAAAGAATGCTATTCCTAAAACAAGTGAGTAATAACTCAGGACTTAGTAAAGAAAAACAGAGTGTAAAATGTCTAAAAATATCAGCAGAATGAACACCAATCAGGTTTGCACCAGGTTCTATAAATTTAAAAACAATGTGGGGAACTCAGAGTTGTGACCGCAGTCCTGGAGCGATACGACAATATTGCTATTTTGGAATCTGTTCTGCATCACACAGCAGTTTTTATTTAAAAATTATTCAGCGTTCTTTAACCTTTTCATTTTTCTTTTTTATTTTCTTAATATTTTATTTGGTTAAACCGGGTCTAAGTCGTGGCACATGGGATCTAGCTCCCTGAGCAGGAGTCAAACCTGGGCCCCTACACTGGGAGCCCGTCTCAGCCATGGGACCACCAGGGAAGCAGGTGAAACAGGATATTTAATATTTAATATTTCTAATTATAAAAGTTTACAAATTACAAAAGATCAGTTAAATATAAATTATAAAATTTAAGTATCATTCCAAATGTCTATATCTAATTATCTATGTGTAGTTAAAAATTAACATAATTTTTAAGAATAAAATTTTCATGCAAACTTTCCCAGCTGCTCATTCTAACTCAGTAGTAAGAGAAATATTGGGGGAGATAGTAAGTCTACCCCAAGTCTGAATAATAATTTTGAAAAAAATTTTGAACAACCTATTGTTTTCCAGCAGAGACTACAACCTGCGTTGATATTGAAACATTAATTTTTACTTGAAGAAAACTTTCCTATTCATTTTCATCAGGTATAAATTAACTACATCAATTTAAATTCTTTTATATTTATATTCACTTCTTTGAAAACCACTGAAAGAAACACTAAGATTCTCTTACAGGGGAAGCTTCATTTGTTGTCATTCTCCTCTATCTTCAGAGATACATGAAATTTGAACAGATGCACCTTTGTGCCCAGATTTTCATTCAGTGCTAACTCTCTGGGTAAAGGAGAGACTGGCTCCGCAAATAATTCCGTCAAAATGGGTCACTCATCTCAGCCAAGATTTAAGCTTCAGACTGCACTTGGCCAGTGCACGGGTATCCCCAGAGCTGACGTCTCGCGCAGCTCCTAGCTCTGAGGCTTCCTTCCAACCTCCAGCCCCCTGCATGTCCTTGCCCAGTGCTGAGGCCATCCTTGCAGCTCCTGCCTGGGTTATAACTCAGCTGCTGGTGCTTCCACATTTTCAGCATTTATTTAGCACCTCCCTTTCCCCCCTCCCTGAAGCAGAGCTCCCAGTCACACCTATAGGCAACAACTTGATTCCCTCCCCAGCCAAGCAGGAGGGATGGCCTCACCCAGAGAGACGGACCGGCTTTAGGGGGCTGCCCGCTCTCCGCTCTCAGTTTTCTGGCTGGAAGGGTCGGGAAGAGAGGGGGAGATGAGGGGGGGGAAGATGCTGAAGGAACCTGGCTTTTAGGAGCTGCCAGGGGCTCATGGCAAAGGTTCAAAGCCGAAAGAGGGGTTTAGTAGGGCTACAACAGAGTCAGAAGTAAACAATACTAAGCATGTAGATGTCTGAAACATAGGGGTTTTATCCACAAAAATTTCAGCTTTTTTTCCTTTTAAATTGAATTATAGTTGATTTACACAGTGTGTTACTTTCTGGTATGTAGCAAAATGATTCAGAGACATATATATATATTCCTTTTCTGATTCTTTTCTATTATAGGCTATTACAAGGTATCGAATATAGCTCCCTATGCTACATGCGTTAGGATCTTGTTGTTTATCTATCTACCTATATATGTATATATATACATATGCATAAATGACAGTCTGTATTGCTAATTCCAAACTCCTCACCCACCCACCCTCGTCCCTGCTCTGTGTCCTCCTTTGGGGACCATGAGTTTGTTTCCTGTGTCTCTGAGTCTACTTCTGTTTTATAAATGAGTTTATTTGTATCATTCTTTTAGATTTCACATGTAAGTGATATATGACATTTACCTTCTGTCTGACTTCATTTAGTATGAGAATCTCAAGGTTTATCCATGTTGCTGCAAATGGTACTTTCTCACTCTTTTTTATTGTTGAGTAATGTTGCACATCCTCTGTCCACTCGTCCGCCGATGGACAGCTAGGTTGCTTCCATGCCCTGGCTACTGTAAACAGTGCTGCTATGAGCACCTGGGGTATGTGTACCTTTTTATGATAGTTTCCACCTTTTCCAGATACATGCTCAAGAGTCAGAGGTGCTGGATCACGTGTAACTCTATTTTTAGGTTTTTTCTTTTTTTTTTCTATGGGTTAATACATACTACCTTTTATTGAAACTAATTCACCTTTCTCCATTCTATCATTTTCATAGTCAAAAAAAAGTTGTTTGAGGAGTTCAAGACTACACAATTACTCTGGCTTTGTACAAATGAAAAAGTAGTAATTCTTACACAAATTATTAAGACCAGGTATACTAAAATGATTTTCCACTGAATAAAATGAACTACTGATGCCAAAATATTTTTAAATGCTTTTAAAGAGTGATATTTTTCATTTTATAGTGTATGTACTTAATCATTTTTTCTATATGCAACTAATGAAGCCTCACAATTTGAATCAAGTTTTTAGAAATTCTATATTAATTAGCTTAAGTCCATATTAGGTATTAATGAATGATTATTTATGACAACAATGTTAAGATTGACAACCAAGTTAACATTTAGAAACAGAGGAAAAAATCTTAAATACAACCCTAAAAAAGTGTCAATTTCTTGAAAAAAGAAAAACCCATGATCCAACCTGACTCAATATATGCAATGTGCTTAGTTATGATTAAAGTCTAAGAAGCAATGCTCAAGTTAATTAATTTCTCTAGATTTGTATTTTCTTCTGTTTGCAATCTCTATCTTCCTCTCCTCTAGCTAAAAGATATAAAGAGAAATTTTGTAAAGATGACTACATTAACCAGAAAGTATCCTTTCTGGCATACAATTAAAAATAATGAGAAACTAAATTTTCCTGGGCAAATATTATTATAAATGGTAATAGCAATATACAAGCAAACAGGAATATTCTGAATCTGGTGGGAAAAAAATTACAGATCGTTTCTACCCTCCATCACCTCTATTAAGAACGTACTTAGTGCCACTGAACTGCACAGTTAAATATGATTAAAATACAGTATGTTTTATATTATGTGACTTTTACTGTAATAAAAAAATTTTAATTAAAAAAAAAAGATTAGGAGACTGACCACCTAAGACCTTGCGCACACAGTAATTTTGTCAGCAACGCCACCCTTGCACCATTGCCATAAAACCTCTCATCAAACTCCCCTGGGTTGGGACACAGTTTTCGAGGGCAGGAGTCCACTGTGGCTCCTTTGCCTGGCAAAGCAATGAAGCTATTCTTTTCTGCCTCACCTTCTGCAAAAAAAAATAGTTCTACCAGTGAGTATCATATCTAAAAAAAAGTATGTAAGAAAAGTGTTAAAATAAAGTGTTAGGTCTGAACAAGCCAACATTCTTACAACAGAATGAAATGCACACATGATTACTTACTCAGACATTCCTTCAAAGCCAAAGCCTGAACACAGGCTAACTGTTTTTCTCTCTGTATAAGCTGCTCCCTGGAGAAACTCGGAAGTGACAAAAGGTCAAGAGGAAAACCTAAGAAATAGAAAAAAAAAATAAAATCAGTATTAAAGATGGTTTATAACAACAATTAATATACAGTTCTCAAGAAATGTGTTAAAATGTAATTAAAAGTCAATTATTTATCTTTCTTCATCTTGCATATTTCAAAGTAAACAATAATAAATGAACAGCAGAAAATAAACATACTAAGTTATTTTGCATTTTAAACTTTGACCTGCTTCTTAAATTCAGAGAATTTAGGTAGCAGAGCAGAATTCCCTCCACTACATCTTCTTCTGCTTCAGCTATTGAAACCGCCACACAAAACAGTGATGGACTATAGGAGTTGGTCTTCAAAGGTGGCCTCCCCGCCCCCGAGAATCAGGTTCTGCTTCTACCTGCCGTGTAGACCTTCCACAATGAATCTAGGTGACCCCAGGAGACCAACAAGGCACAGTAAAAGTGACAATGAAAGACATAAGTCATAGAAAGTCTTACAGTTTCCTAGAACACTCGCTCTAAGAGAAGCTGACAACCATAAAGAAATCAGACTTCCGGGAGACAAGCTGTTGCGAGGAAGCCCAGCTGGCTGGAGGATGGGTGTGTGAAGAGGAGATCAGCTCAATCTGATCCAGCCACCCCCACCCAGGCACCAAATACGCAGGGGAAGAGCCAGCCTACACACCCAGCCCTGTGAAGTCTTCAAATGAAAAGAAGCCCCAGTCATGTGTGATGGCAGTCAGACGCGGGCCTTCAAAACAAAAACATCCAGCTGAGCCCAGTCAGCCCCCAGGACCACGAGACCTGGTAACAGACCGTCATCGTTGGGCCACATTTGGGGCAGTTGGTCACACTGTGATGGAGAAGCCAAGCATGGAGCTTGGAGAGTAGAAAAAGATGAGCAATAAAGACGCTGGAGAGAAAATAAATAACAATGAGACGTAAATTCTAGAAAAATAATTTGTGTAAAGTGGAAAATACTAAAAATTTTCCTGTTTGGAACTGAAGGGGTGACCTGCTACATTTTAAGAAGTATGATATGTAAAGGATAAATGCTCTGCATTCTATATTGTTCAAATATGTTATAAAATATTTAAAATAAAAGCAAATTTAGGGAAAGTGAAATGGAGTTTGAAGACAGTAAGTTCATTAAAAACCACATAAGTTAACTATTTACACAAACAGATATAAAAATGTTTTGTTTTCCCTCTAAAGTTAACACTCACTCAATTTGGTTTCTTCTGTCATTGCTTTCATCTTTCCATGAATTAAACTGAGTGCAAACGAGCCATTGATCTGGTTGGCTGAGTAAATCAATGTGGCTTTACACTTTCCATTGCCATTACCTTGTATTAAGAGGTAATAGCTAGAACTCTCTCCTTTCACTTCAACATCTGGAACTAAACAAAAACAATTATCTTGTTAAGCATGTGAAAATTCAGCAGACAACATAGCAGAATCATACATTTGATCCATTGGATATAATTACATTTCTATGTTATTTTAAAACAAGGTATCACCCAGTATATTTGGGACAGCAGTTGTTCTTTTAACTGAAACTGAAAGTCACTCAGTCGTGTCTGGCTCTTTGCAACCCCATGGACTATACAGTCCATGGAATTCTCCTGGCCAGAATACTGGAGTGGGTAGCCTTTCTCTTCTCCAGGTGATCTTCCCAACGCAGGGATCAAACCCAGGTCTCCCACACTGTAGGCGGATTTTTGACCAGCTGAGCCACAAGGGAAGCCCTATGTATTTATCATTTTTAAAATTTATTAACTTATTCATTTAACTGAGGAAGCTGTTAAAGCAGAGACTCATAACAAAAATGATACTCACAAAGCATACACATTTTAAATTAAAACTATGTATACTCATTGATTAACTTTTGATGTGGCTCTTTAGAGTTCTATTACATCTTTTCTATATATTCACACCCATAATGTATCAACTACTATTTCCAGCTTTCCTTTCTTTAAAGAGGAATAAGCTGAGCCCTGAACGCACACACAGCTCCACTGGTGGGAAAGGAGTGCACACATGCTCAGAGCTAGTTTCCTGCTCCTGCACTGTGCATCCATAATGTATTTTACAGAGGGAGTGGACAGCACTCATTAATCTGGCACGCCAGTAACTCGAAGGTCAGTTAAGACAGCTAAAAACAAATCAAGTGATGGCTATAGTGAAGGTCAAAGAAAAACTGTGAAGCCTACGATATTAAAAATAGAAATAGAAGCCTTTCTGCAGAAGATGAATTGGACATAAGCATTTATTTTCACTATCTCCTGAAATTCCATGAAATGAGAATAAACTTAAAAATAACAGAGAACTACAAGAGCCAATATCTGAGAGAAGAGACAGCAGCAACTGAACTCTGAAAGCAGGAGAAAAGAGAAACAGTTGGAAACAGACTTCAGGCTCCCAGTTGCTAAGCTGAGAAAAACCACAGAGAAAGTTTGGAAGCAACAAAATTTATACTACAACCCCTGACACGGGACTCTGGGATAGCATGGGAAACAAAATGATGGTGAAACAGTGAAACAGGCTGAAAGTCTGTCTTAGAGCTATTTGGCATCCAGATTCCTCCACATTCTGTGCAGGCAAATGACTGTCCTTTCCCCAACCCAGGAGACTAGCAGTTATTTTCTAGAGAAAATAAAACAAAATGTCTCCGGTCTGGGAGATATAAGACAGAGCTTAGGGCTAAAATTGATTCTGCATGTATTAAGTGAATGCTGGTATACTGAATACTGAGGCCCTTTACACTTCTTCACCCACATAATTTCCAGAATTTTGGAAGCCAGAGAGCAGAATCGAGCTCTCTTTTGGAAACATGGTCAGTATTAGTGGGCTCTGTGCTTCATCACCCAGTCCGATCCGACTGTGCGACCCCGTGGACTGTAGCCCACCATGCCCCTCTGTCCGTGGGGTTCTCCAGGCAAGAACACTGGTGTGGGCTGCCTGCCCTCCTCCACAGGATCTTCCAGACCCAGGGATCAAACCTGTATCTCTTATGTCTCCTGCATTGGAAGGTGGGCTCTTTACCATTAGTACCACCTTAAGTCTCTAAGCCACTTATTAATCGGGTTGTCTCCACACTACTGAGTTGTAAGAATTAAAAAAAAAAAAACCTGTCCATTGTAAGATAATATGAGTGAAACAATCTCTTAGTCAGTAGATTTAAAAATTTTTCCTTAGCAGAGTTTTTCAAAAAGCGGACAGGGGCATTTATTCAAAAAATTTAAATTTTGGTGCATTTATAGGTTTCTTTTTTTTAATATATCATCCATTTTGTATGTTTTCTTACAGAAGTTTTAATACTTTTAGTGCTTGCATTCAGGCATATGTAATTTTACATATATGTGTGTAATTTTTGAGTTTCTTTATATGAACATTCAATTATCCCAGTATGTGTTAAAAGACCATCGTTTTCTCACTGGCATCCCTGTCTATTCTGCTCCACTGACACATGGATATTCTATCTTGATTCTTAGCTTTAGAGTGAGTTGAAAATCAGTTAGTATAAATTCTTGTAAGTTGCTCTTCCTTTTCAAAATTGTTTTAGCCGCTCTAGATCTTTGTAATTTCATGTAAATCTAGTATCAGTTTGACAATTTCTATGAAAAGGCCTCCTTTAATTTCATTAGAGATTAGATCAAATCTATTCCCTGTAACTCAGATGGTAAAGAATCTGCGTGCAAGGCAGGAGTCCTGGGTTTGATCCCTGGGTCGGGAAGATGCCCTGGAGAAGGGAACGGCTACCCACTCTAGTGTTCTTGCCTGGAGAATCATATGGACAGAGGAGCCTGGTGGGCTACAGTCTGTGGGGTCGAACCGAGGCGGACACAGCTGAGGGACTAACACTACTACACCACTGCCATCCATCAGTATGCAGAGAAGGACCATTTTAATAATGCTGAGTTTTCTAAACTATGAACACGCCGTATCTCTCCATTTACTGTTATCTTCTTTAAAAGCTCTCAGTAATGTTTTGTAGTTTTCAGTGTACAGGTCTTGGACTTTCTGTTAGATATAGTCCCCTGTGTTTTATTCACTGATTTCTGGTCTAATTTCCTTCCTTCTACTTATCTTGAATTTAGTATTCCAGCTTCCTGAGGTTAATGTCAATTTTAGATCTTCCTTCCATTCTAACGTAAGCATTCAGAGCCCTCTCAGAGCTGCAATGAGGGGCTTTTCATATGTTTGTTTCTATTTCCATTCAGTTAAAATTATTTTTTTAATTTGACCTATGGGCTATTTAGAAGTGTGCTTAAGTTTTAGTTTCCAAATATTTAAAGTATTTCTCAGATTTCTTTCTGCTGTTGCTTTCTAATTTAATTCCACTGCAACTGGAGAAAACGTTGCATATTATTTTTATCCTGTTAAATTTACTGAGCCTCGTTTAATGGCCTAACAAATATATAGTCTATCCTGAAGAAAGTACCATCTGTGCTTGAAGAGAACAAGTATGCTGTTTCATGCTATGTTTAATAAAAGTTAATATAGTAAAGTTGGTTGACTGTTTTCACTACTGAACTTCTAGCATCTAGAATAATGCCCTGAACACAAGGAGCATACAATAAATGTACATTTTCGCTGACTGAAAGAATACTTTGTCTTTGCCACTGAAATCTCTTCCAAAATCTTTATCCAAGTCCTTTACCTCTTCTCAAGGGCAAAATTATTTATAAAATCAATTACACTGAGTCACCTTAACCTTGGCAGTTTCAGCTCTATTTTGAAACACTTTTATCCCACTGATTGGAGTATGAAGAAGGCACAAGCTTCCTCAATGCAAAGTACTTTATTAGTCCTAATTAATAATTTTTTTTTTGCTGAATATCTTCAAAATGTTTCCTTTCAAAAGAATTCCAATTTTGAAAAAATGTGGCAATAGAACTCAGGATGGTAAAATGATCACACATTACCAGTAGAAAGACTTGGGTGGAAATTCTGACTTCACCCTGTGACCTTAGGCAAGTCTCCTGATTTCTCTGTACCTTAGCTTTTTCATTCTTATATAAAATTAGGCAATGATCAACACCTAATTTTTTGACAATTTCATAAAACATCTCTGTGAACATATGGTGTACCAGGTTCTTTTCATTATACAACTGGCTTTTTAATACAAGTTTAAATATAGAGGCCTTTCTTCAGAAATGTAGTAGGGTTTAGTTACTTTCATTTCTTTCCATAATTCTTTTACATTTTCCCCAGTACCACAATACTCTTGAGAATTCCACAAAAAATCACTTTTAAAAATCATTCTTTTGCCATTCAATTTAAGCATATTTCAAATTGGGCACTGTTCTATTTTCAGTTCAGTTCAGTCAGTTCAGTCGTTCAGTCGTGTCCGACTCTTTGCGACCCCATGAACCAAAGCACGCCAGGCCTCCCTGTCCATCAGCAACTCCCGGAGTCCACCCAAACCCATGTCCATCGAGTCGGTGATGCCATCCAACCATTTTATCCTCTGTCATCCCCTTCTCCTCCTGCCTTCAGTCTTTCCCAACATCAGGATCTTTTCAAATGAGTCAGCTCTTTGCATCAGGTGGCCAAAGTATTGGAGAGTCAGCTTCAGCATCAGACCTTCCAATGAACACCCAGGACTGATCTCCTTTAGGATGGACTGGTTGGATCTCCATATACAGCCTTGACGTACTCCTTTTCCTATTTGGAACCAGTCTGTTGTTCCATGTCTAGTTCTAACTGTTGCTTCCTGACCTGCATACAGGTTTCTTAAGAGGCAGATCAGGTGGTCTGGTATCCCATCGCTGTCAGAATTTTCCACAGTTTATTGTGATCCACATAGTCAAACGCTTTGGCATTTTAGGTCAAATTATATGAATTTTTATATTTAACAATTTTTGACATACCACAGTTCAAACTAATACATATGTAATATATGCATTATACATATCCCTTGATTTCCTACATTAAACCTGAAGAACTGATAAAAACTGGAGCACAAATTTTGGTTCACACTGCAGTCCATTCAAAGTCTTTCTTCACTTTTCCAGACAGCAGTTACTGCTAATTAGAAATACAATATATGTTTCACTTATTATTAGCAATTATTTTTGAGTACCTATTAAGTGTCATGACTTCCCTGGTAGCTCAGAGGGTAAAAAAATCTGTCTGTAGTGCAAGAAACCTGGGCTTTGATCCCTGGGTCGGGAAGCTCCCCTGGAGAAGAGAACAGCTACCCCCTCCAGTATCCTTGCTTGTTGAGTCCCATGGACAGAGGAGCCTGGTGGCCACAGTCCATGGGGTCCATCAAGTGTCAGGCACTGCTCCAGGCACGAAGAATAAAGCAACGAATAAAAGTAGAAAGTCCACCTTGTCTCTTCTCCTTCCCAGTGAGGGGAATGAACACAAATTCGGTCTATCAGATGGTGGG